AAAAAAAAAAAAAAAAAAAAAACAATTGTCTTCTCATAAAAAAAAAAAAAAAAAAAGATAGCAGACTTAGGCGGCTCCTTGATGCCAGATAGGCAGGCCTACAATCTTTCCCCGAACACAACCACCCCTCATCGTCACTGCATCTCACCTGAAAGATAGCTTGTATACATTCACGATTGGGGTATGTTGCGTTTGGGCGAGGACTGTCGTGTGCAAATGGTTAGCTCTAGAAACTTGGAGATCAGTCCACTCTTTTTTTTTCTTTTTTTTTTTTTCTTTTTTTTTGGTCACACCAATTTTTGTCGTCATGATACAGCCATTACGCTGCCCGACCTTTGCGGGTGCTGGCAGTGAAGAGATGAGGCCGGAGAAGGAGGCAGAAGGGCTCCTGTGAGTGGAGAAGATATCCCGTGGCTATGGCAGATGCTTGCTGGCTATGGCAGAAGCTACGCAGCTAAGGTGCTAGGTCTTTTCGTTGTTTTTTACACACACACACACACACACACATTCACACACACACACACACACACACACACACACACACACACACACACACACACTCTGGGCCCACCTACTCCGCGGGAACATCAGTCCGGTTGCTAATTATTTATGACCATTAGATCTTTGAAGAAGTTTGGACATTTCGGGCATTTAGTTTTGCCTGAGATGCCAGCAGCTGCCAGAGTCACCCGCCATGGCTATGGCAGATACATGCCCGTCTCTTCTATGCATTACCATGGTCAGTCCGCGCACTCCCGTGGTTAATCGATAGAAGAGACAGCTGACAGCAATCAGACATGGAAGAGTAGAGAGATCATTCCTCCAAGTCCTTCAGGACATCGATTAACATTGGAACGGTACACAGAGAAGAATAGCATGGCCCCTGTGCAAGGACGACGCACAGAAATCGACAAACGCTGCAGTTTTATGCAATGATCCTTTCTTTTTCCTTCTTTTTTTTATTATATCCTCCAATCTATTCGCGGGGTGCAGCAGTATGAGAGTATGAGAACCCCGAGCGACGATCTTTCCATGCAGAAACCGCAAAAGACGACAAGGGAGGAGGGAGTATAGACACCGCCAAGAAGATAGTCATCTATATCTATATTCTTCTCTCACTCTATTACATCTTTCTTGGTAGTACGCATCTATCTCATCCTCTCAGTGCTATTTCAATTTCATAATGTGAAGCCCTGAGGCCCCCTTTTTTTTTATAAACAAAAAGAAAAAAAAAAGAACCCCTGAGCGCGAGTCGGCTCGTTATTCATGTTACAGGAAGCACCAGCCGGGGCTAGGTCCCACTTGCACGGATTAAGAGATTCTGGCCATTGATCTTTGCAATCTACGGTCAATATCGATCAATAACTCGCGTAAGTGGGACCTAGCACCAGCCGAAGTGGGCAAAAAGAGTGGCGCAAAAGCACCATACGTGAAACTCGGGCGGCGATTATATACCCGACACGTGTTTCAACCGGCTCGCCCTGAAGACGGCTGGCCATCTTCAGGAGGGTTAGAGCACGGTGAGAGACAGGATAGAGGCAAATATAGTAGCATTATTACATACCTATGTCCATCATTTTTTAAAAAAGGGCGATGGCCTTGAGGTATTATCATCGGACGAACCAGCCGAGGTAAATTCAATATTGTGTCTAATCATAGCAGGCACTAGCTCTGTTACAAGTACCGGACCGAAACGGAGAGAACCCAGGGTACCAATACCAAATTAGAAGATTCCAGACGGGCCCGAATGGGCCCAGCGACGCACGTGTTCATATGCCTGCAGAATCCGAGGGTACCAATACCAAATTAGAAGATTCGAGACGGGCCCGAATGGGCCCAGCGACGCACTTGTTCACTTGTTCATATGCCTGCAGAATCATAGGGTCCACCGAGTAAAACAGCGACCCCAGTTGTTCCAGACCCCTCCAGACTTGATATGAAAAAAAAGGTTTTGTCAAAATAGGGTCTGCTGTGCTGCTGGCCTTGGGGGGGGGGGGGACCCGATAGACCCACGGTAGGAGTAACGTTCGGCACTTTCCGCGTCGTCGGGAGTCGTAGCCATCAAGGCTATGGAGGACGTTGCTGCAGGAGCCCAGATCCGGACCCAACAAGAAGAAGATAGGAGAAGAAGAGCGAGTGTTAGAATGGGAGACGAGGCGTAAGCAGTGAAGATAGTTAGTGAAGGGAAGCACCAACAGACGAACCAAGCCCGCTGGAGCTTAGGGTTCGGAAGAGCATAGGAAGCAGCTCGAAGACTCAAAGGACTACTGGTAGGAAAGCCGATGGAGGTCCCCATGAGAGAGGGGGGTCGCTCCCCTCCTCCAGCTCCAGATCAGATGAGAGATGAGGACAAGGACCGTATTATTTAGAGAAAAAAAAAAACGGGAGTTGGCAAGACTGTGTTACGATGAAGGGGTAATGACTGCATCGATAGACCCAGGGGAAATGACGGTAAATGGGAGAGATGCGACCTTAAAGGTCAACGAAAGAATTGACCGCACCAAAGTGGCATGGTTAAAGGAACATACAGTCACCTTCATATTTCGAGAAGGGGCCCGGTTCCTACCAAAGAAGCTCAAGGATGACGTGGTAAGGGTGTACGAGGATGAGAAGATCCAGGATGGGAGCTTTGAGGCAGAAAGCTTCAGAAGAGGGCGGGTGAAAATGGAAAGCCCAAACGTGGTGTCTTACATAGCGAAGTCAACGGCGGTGGCCACGTGGTTGATTATGAAAGGACAGGACAAAATTACGTTAGGTTCGACAAGATATGTATTGGTCTTCAAACCATGGCTTACACGAGTGCAGTTGAGAGAGCAACGTAGAAGTGAGAACGAAGCAAATTTTTGGGTGGTGGCAGTACAAGTGCCGATAGATGCCATGCTATACCTGGAAGCCCAAGTGCAGAAGGCAATTGGGACGGTGCTTGTAGCACACCCTCCAGAACCAGATAGGCTTAAACCCTCGCTCATCAACTTGAAGTTCGATATCGACCCGGGAGCACGACAGAACATGAAGGACAAAATCTCGATAATCACGTATGAAGGAGATACGGTGACGGTCAACCTGGCTTCGTCAGATACACCAAGGTGCGGAAGGTGCAGAGCCTTCTTCCACTTCGATGAGCAGTGCAGGAGAAATCAACGGCAACCTCAAGCTGGTTCGCCGAATCAATCTCGATCCAATCAAGGAACACAGCAGGAAGCAAGGAGACAGTACCAAGGGCCGCTGGGTCCAAGACCAAGCGCATCAGGAGGCATGCAAGGAGCGACTCTGATACCCCAGTTAAACGGAATAGCAGCGAGCCATAACAATCCGGTTTTCTCGCCAGGAGGCCTTCCGGGCATCCCCCTCCATAACTTGGAGCAATGGGGATTACCGCTAGGCATGCAGAACAGCTACTCGGCTCTTGCTCCATGGATGGGACATGGCCTAACCGGCCACTTAGGGATGCCAGGTGGAACGGAGATGCTCCAAGGTATACTAGGTGACATGTACGGGGCAACCGGCGGGGGAACCCGAGGGTTGTTCGAACAACAACAAGCAAGTTATGGACCTCCCGAACCACGGCATAGAGAGGAGACGAGACCTCAAAGTGGAGGAAGAGAGATACTAAGGAGTTGGCAGGGGTAAGGAGGGGAAAACAGAAGGCAAGGGAGAGAGGAAGGGGGAGCAAACATTGCAGACGGTCTCCAAGAAAGAGACTGCAAAGACAAGGATCATTCATATCAGCAGCAAGAGGATCAGAAGGAAGAATGCAGGGTAACCAAAGAGGCGATCGCACACCAGGCAAACAACGAAGGCTGAGTAGGGAAGCGAGCGCATCATCGAATCAAGAGCTGGGAAAAGAAGGATCTGGATCTTCGCACTCAGATACCTCTCAAAACTTCTGAGTGATCGGGACTCCAGGGACGAAGACAACTCGAAGTCGGACACCAGTGGCCGTGAATCGAGGCCAATAGGACAACATTGAGGCGAAGATATTGCCACTGTTCTGCACATTCATGAGGAATGAAATTTGGTTTATAGGATGGAATTCGGCAGATGCTGTAACGAATTTACTATCAGTAAATTCGTCGGAGTCGCCGATGCCAACAACGATGGCCACAATGGTACGAACGACAATACGAGACAAGTTCCAGTTCCGCATGATCCCGGAGATACTAATGCCTCGTTTGCTGGTAGACAACCCGGAGAACGGCAAGAAGACCAAATTTTTTATTCCGATCTTGGATGTCCGGTTGGTACATGGGCAGCTTCAAATACTGGAACAGGAGGGCTGGCGACTGCTCCCGATCTCGTGGATCACCGACAAGAGAAAACAAGAGCTCCGGAAGATAAGAGTATCCCCCAGACGGTCAGCCGAGTTCCTAGCAGAAATGGAAGCGAAGCTACCAAAGGACAAAAAGTTGCAGTCCCAATTCCTGCGAACCTATCTCACCTCCAACTGGTTGCCAGGGACATTAGATAGACCACAAGGCCAGAGTTCCACACAAGAAGGTCACTCCATCCAACAGAGAACGGAGGGAGGATCGAATGCAGAAACTTAAGGTTTCTTCGTGGAACGTGAGGGGATTGGGGGACATTGGAGGGAGGTGCAAGAAGGAGAGACTGAAGAGTTGGATTCACGAGACCAAGGCCCAAGTGGTATGTCTGCAGGAAACGAAGCTTAGCGAGGAGAAGATAGACGCGTTAGGCAATTGGTGGGATGGGCCACAACTGTGGTCCCCTGCTCAAGGGTCAAAGGGAGGGGTGGGCATCTTAATCCACAGAGGTCTAGAGGCAGTAATTATAGACTTTTATGTAGACTTGTGGGGAAGATGGGCGTGGGTAAAGATTAGGGTGGGAGACATTGATTGGCTAATCGTAACAGTCTATGCTCCGACGGACCAGCGAGAGCGGAAGATCTTTAACGAGGAATTACTGCATATCATTCCAGATTGTGATCGAACAATAGCCGTAGGGGATTGGAACCTCACACTGGACGACCCGGAGGGTATCCATCAGGCAACGCCCGATAAGGAAACCTTGCTTAGTTCTATGACAGAACTAGATCTAATCGACCCGTACAGATTGAACAATCCGGACTAGCAGGGCTTTACTTGGTTCCCCAACCCAAGGCCAGGGATTGGTGTGATCTGTAGGAGACTCGATTTCTTCCTCATTAAGTCTGGGATATGGGAATCAGTCAGTAATATCATCGTGGATACACAGTCCTCTTATGATCACAAACTGATCAGCTTGTCTGTGCAAACAGGGACGGCTACAAGGGGTAAGGGTCTGTTCCGCTTAAATACACAGAACTTAGATGATCCAGGACTGAAGGTCTGGATGGAACGATTTTGGACAGACTGGCAGGAGACAAAGCCACTGTACGATTCCCTTGCTGGGTGGTGGGATTCGGGGGTGACAATTTTTTCAAACCTGCTAAACGTATTTTCGAGAATTTTGGCATACGAGAGAAAAAAGGAGGAGGATAAGATGAGGAGAAAAATTGAATATGCAGAAAGAAGGATGGAGGAGCACCCAGTTTCAAGACTGGTATGGGGAAGGGAACGGGCAAGGCTGATGAGAAAGTGGGACGAGACTCAAGTGCGCAAGTCCGAAATTTGGGCTGAAAGATTACAGGTGAAGGGCGTAGTGGTTTATGATAGAATGACAAGGGAATCTTTTTTGAAGTTGCTACCCTCGAGGTCATCAGTTTCAATGCTGGAGCTTAAACACCCGTTCGGCGGTAAAGGGACAATTGCCAAAGAATTGACGGACCTATGCTCATATGCGGCGATGTACTATAAGGATATCTTGACCTCACGAACACAAGGAGTGGAGGTCACGTTGGAACTGCAGGACGGAAACAAGCACTGGGAGAATACTTCAATCAAGTTGTCTCAGACAGGCAGATTGGACTTGGATCGACCAGTGACAGAACCCGAAGCCAAGGAAGCCTTAAGGGCGATGGCTAAAGGCAAGGCGCCCGGATGTGATGGCCTACCAATGGAGTTGTATGTCGAACTGTGGGAAACGATAGGAGGGGATTTGGTGGAGATCTACAATCAGGTGTTGACAGGAGGGAGACTGGCAACCAGCATGTGCAAGGGGGTCATCTCGGTATTATTTAAAAAGGGTGAAAGATCGGAAATCAGAAACTGGCGACCAGCATTTGTGAGGGGAAGATCAATTTTCGATAACATTATCATGACCATCGAAACCCTGAAACTGGTGCAAAGATAAGGCTTGAACATATCAGTCCTGTTACTTGACCTGGAAAAAGCATATGACAGAGTTAATTGGTCATACGTTTTGACCACGCTCAAGTGGATGGACTTCGGGGAGAATTTCATCAAGTGGGTGAAGATGCTATATGTGTTTTCAACAACAGCTGTAATGATCAATAACCGTCTTTCAGAGGAGTTCCCACTGACTAGATCATTGAGGCAAGGGTGCCCCTTGGCCCCCCTATTGTTTGCGCTACAGTTCGAGGTCGTCTTGAACAATATAAGAGTTAACCCACAAATCAGGGGAATGCCTGTGGCAGCGTCCTCATATAAGGTGAAGGCATTGGCGGATGACCTGTTTGCGGTCTCGGAGAACACACAGGTTTCAATGAAAGCGCTGAAGGACTGTCTAGATGAGTATTGCGAACTTTCGGAGGCAGGAATCAACTGGCACAAGTCAGTCTTCCTGCTACCATAACAGTTCCAGCCTGTGGTGGAATGGGGGATGAGGAGAATCGAGAAGGACGACTCAGAGAGATTCCTGGGCGTGCAGATATCAGTGATGGACTGTTCGGCAACTCATGACGGCCTATTGCTTCAAAAAGCTATGCAGCGAATTACGATATGGGGAAAGGCCCCGCACTTGTCTATTTTTGGAAGGTCTATGGTTCTGAACAGAGCGTTATTCGCACTGTTATGGTTCATAGGGGCAGTGAGGAAAATTGGGAACTGCACATACAAACTGATACGGAGGAGGGCGGCGAGATTCATTTGGAAGCCATTCTCTGGAGATCAGGATGCCTTTATCTCGAAGGTGGCGTGGGAAATGCTATGCCTACCAAGGGAGGAAGGAGGCCTGGGACTGACAGATCCACATAAACAGAACGAAGCAATGTTAGTTAAGTGGATAGTACGAGCCTGCTTAGAAGACCCGCCTCCGGACTGGGTCCATTTGGCAGAGAGATCCCTAGCAGCAGAGTGGAACCTATCAAGACCAGAAGACATATGGACGTGCCTATTGCTCTAATCCTACCAGCGCAGAGGAGTCAAATCCACACTGTGGGCATCCATTGTCCAGGCGTGGAAGAGGTTATGCCCGAATGTCTGGGTTACCCCTACAACAAAAGCGGAGGTGTTGGCTCAACCTATCTTCAAAAATCCAAATATCAGAATGGCTAACGGATCATGGTTCAAGGCAGATACACACAACAGGAGTTTTGGCAGACCATGGATAGAGAAGGGTGTACTCAGAATCAGGGATATATGGGATGGTTTTGCAGAGGACTGGTTGACAAGTGAGCAGTTGAAAACGAAGCTGGGACAACTACGGAATGTGCAGGAAAGGTTTTCAGCAGTAATAGAAGCAATTCCGGAGGATTGGAAGGTTCTGCTGTCTCCAGAGTCGGTGGACCCGCCAGGTACCTGGTATACCCAGCAAGAAGAACAGGGCTTTAGCCTCTGGGAGCTGAAACAGACACAGATAGATGGGAAAAGGTTTTTCCAGAAATGGAATCATTAGAACAGAAGTAAGTTGGAGGTAGCGGAACCAGGGACTCAACCAAGATTGCGTATGGCTTTGGCCCAAGCTAGAGTAATACCACGGGACCAGGAGGGGCCACGAGCATTGGCATTGGTAGCCAATGGGAAGCCAATTGCAGAACTGAAACTTGATCCAAGAATGTGGGAATGGAGAGCCATGGGAAGGCGAGGGGAGAACGTCAGTCTGTTTAACTATTCCCAAAGAGTGGGTTACAAGAGCCTGATCCCAGTGAAGCATCCGGAAGTGGTGGCGAGGACAAGGTGGTCGTAGTTACTGCCAATGGACCCGGCTCAGATTAGCAAAGCTCTTAAATGCTGCTGGGAACAGCTGAAAGAGATTCCTTGCCAAAGACAAGCATCAACGTTGTGGTTACTATCGATGGTAGCAACCCCCTCTGCGGTGTGGCTCGCGGAAAGGGGAATGAAAGTGGACCTGAAATGCACAAGGTGCGAGTGGGCTTTTGAATCCACGATTCACTTGTGGTGGGATTGTCCAGTCTCGCGAAGAATTTGGGTCTAGTGGATCAGATTCTGGGAGAGCTGCAGTAACGGAGCTTTTGCATGGACGAAGGAGTGGTGCCTGTTGGGCGGAATACATGAAGGACATAGTATGACAAAGGGACGGGGCTACGTAGCGCAAGTCACAAGAGCAGTGGGGTTCACAGTGATCTGGCAAGAGAGGAACGACAGAGTGTTCAAATCTAAAGACTGGTCCAACCGGCAGATCAGAAGCACATTCAAGCAGCTTCTCCGAAGGTCGATTCTGGCGGACTGGAGGAGAAGAGTCGGCAAAACCAGAAGCACAGAGTCTGGGCTGAAGTGGTTCAAGGATACGTGGTGTCAGAGTGAGAAGATAACAAAGATAGAAGGGGGGAGGGTAGTACTAGGCCAGTGGTTGAACAAAGACTAGGGGGAGAGAGCGAGGAATCCTGGGCACTCGGATTCTGGAAGGTCGCAGGAGACAGGCAGAGGGACAGAGACTGAGGAGGGAGTGTCGGTTTGGTCCACCACACTAGGTGGAATAGGAAGGTTCCGTAGAGAATAAGGGATAGGTGGAAAGAGGGTTGTTTTCGGTGGCGGGTTTTTGTCCTTTTTGCTGGGTTTGTGTAGATTTTAAAGCCGTGATGGCACAGTTTTTCTCCTTTTTGCTCAGAGCAAGGCCAACAAGGCAAAGGTCCCAGGGACCGGAGTTGTTCCTAGTCATTTCCAGGCTCTGAACCACAAAGCTAAGCTGACTGATGCTGTCAGATATGATTCCGGGTAGAATTGTGGGTCCCCGGCCCAATTTTGTTGAGCAATAAAGTGATCTATCTTTTTTTTTTTTTTTTTTTTTTAAAGAATGGAATGGATGGCCAAAAAAATGGACAAAAAGTATAAGAACCCCAAAAAGAATTTTTTTTTTTTTTTTTTTTTTTTTTTTTTTTTTTGTTTGTTTGTTTAGGACAGCCAAAGGGTAACTGCCTACTGAAGGCAAACCGCCATATGCTTTGATCCGCCGGCCTCTGCGACAATCTGGAAAAGAACGATGGATGGCAAGTCAGATGGATGCCTACCACCTTCACCGGAAAAGAACGCCTGGTCATTATAGCCGTATCTGGTGCAACTTTCGGCCTACATACAGCGATAATGACCGGCGTTCCATTCGGGTGAAGACAATAGTTTTCCCATTTGGCACTTTGCTCTGAAGGGCTCCCCACTTTTTTTTTTTTTTTTTTCCAAAAGCCCAGGCTCCCCACTTTGCTAAACCAGCTGGGGTGAATGTGTCCTGCGTTAGCGCTGCGTTGCACCAGAAAAGAACGCCTGGTCATTATAGCCGTATCTGGTGCAACTTTCGGCCTACATACAGCGATAATGACCGGCGTTCCATTCGGGTGAAGACAATA